CATAACTAATTAACAAAACAGAAAAAATAACAAAAAATAGCCTTAACAGCCGGCCAGATCAGTCCCCGACCAGTAATCTGCTGCTTATTTACGGCAATAATCTCTCCAAATCTTGTCTGTGAGTAGGCTTGAGCTGCTTTTGTGCCGCATCAAGCCAAAGAAAATGCCATATCTGAAGCAATAATGCGTCCCAAATCAGTCCCCGACCAGTAGTCCGCTGCTTATTTACGGCGATAATCTCTCCAAATCTTGTCTGTGAGTAGGCTTGAGCTGCTTTTGTGCCGCATCAAGCCAAAGAAAATGCCATATCTGAAGCAATAACGCGTCACAAATCAGTCCCCGACCAGTAATCTGCTGCTTATTTACGGCAATAATCTCTCCAAATCTTGTCTGTGAGTAGGCTTGAGCTGCTTTTGTGCCGCATCAAGCCAAAGAAAATGCCATATCTGAAGCAATAATGCGTCCCAAATCAGTCCCCGACCAGTAATCCGCTGCTTCTTTGTGGCAATAATCTCTCCAAATCTTGTCTGTGAGTAGGCTGGAGCTGCTTTTGTGCGCATCAAGTGCCATATCTGAAGCAATAATGCGTTCCAAATCAGTCCCCGACCAGTAATCCGCTGCTTATTTACTGCAATAATCTCTCCAAATCTTGTCTGTGAGTAGGCTTGAGCTGCTTTTGTGCCGCATCAAGCCAAAGAAAATGCAATATTTGAAGCAATAATGCGTCCCAAATCAGTCCCCGACCAGTAATCCACGGCTTTTGTGTCGTCATCCTGGAATACAAATTAGTAATTATCCATCCAAATCTGGTCCCTGAGCAGGCTTGACTTGCTTTTGTGCGGCATCAAACCAAGGAAAACGACCCATATGAAGCGCTAATCACTCACTAATGCATCCGGAATGGGTTCCCGAGCAGGAATCACTAGCTTAGGAACTGCTAATGTCTCGTCATCTTGTAGTAATAAGTGGTAAGAACCCCTCCAAATCTTGTCCCTGAGAAGGCTTTAGGTATCCCAGATCAGTCCCAAACCGTGCAAAACCAATGTCACTGCAGGCTTGCGCTGCGATTCAGCTGCTTTGGTATCCTAACAATCCTTCCAAAACCAGTGTCACAGCAGGCTTCCGTTGCTTTCGAGCTACAATATCCTTTCCAAAATCCGTGCCCGAGCGAACTTCCGCTGCTTTTGGGTAGATTGAAGACGTGACAGAAGCAACATGTCGATGCCTTTCCTCTAGTAATAATTTGGCAATAGTTCCTCCGCAACCAATCCCTGATTAAACTTCTGCATTTGACGGTTGCTACACGTGACGTCTAGTCTAGGCTAGGTACGAAGGTTGCAGGACGTGCATTGCCATGGCAATACATAGCCTGTATGCGCAGTGCGTGCAGAGTGAGTCGGACTCCGGGGATGAGTTCCTTGGATTGCAAGATTGCAGCAACGACCGACAAGGTCGCAGGAGTCATTTGTGAGTCCAGGCACTCAGTCATTCATTCCGAATTCTTCTATTCTTCTACGCAGTTCCGTAAGGTCCCGTGTCGCATCGCGTTCCCCACGGGGTGTTGCAAGTGATTCAAGTGGTTATGTGTCCAGCACCTGGGCTAGACGGTTGACAGCATCATTGGGTGTGCGGCTGGAACGGTTGCACGAGCCGCTTCGGGACCCTTTGGTTGCTCGGACAGCACAAGAGGTATGCAGCAGCGTGCGTGCCATGTCACATGTCACATGTCCTGCAACTTGCGTTTGTATTTCTGCGGAGCAGTAGTTGCATCATGAATCATTCTTGACTGGATTCAGGTAGTGGCGACTGGATGTAGCGGGACCGGGTCGCCTGGCTTTGCTCTACGTGAGCTGATTGGTGCTGGCAATTTCACAGAAGTTGTCTCATCTGAGAAACATGCGCTTTGGCACGCAATTCTGCAGTCTCGCCGAGCTGTGTTCATGAGGTTCACGGGGACATGTTTTGCGTCAAATAAAACAAGGCTTACAATGATGCTTCTGTAACCTGAGCCTGTAACATGCTGCCACCCGGGCTTGGTTCCTGAAGAACCATGATGTCCGACATTGTTTTTCGGACATGACATCTGCCAGGAGAATAACAGAATAACATGCCGCTAGCGGGAAGCACTCCATTGACGAGCCATAGGGCCATAGTACACCGCATAAATTTAGCCTGGACATCGGCATGCGCGCAGGACCGGTGGCTATTGCGCCAAGCACAAGGCCCACTGCCCGGCCGCGACTCAGGACCTGTATGTTGACAGACGGTGAGTGTAGCAAAGGTACCGGAATTAGTTGAAGGCTCGATCGGTGCACAGGAGATCGATTTGTACGTGTGCGGCTTCACGTGCAAGCTGTTTTCCCAAGAGAACAATTCGAGATACAAACATGAAGCTGTGCCAGAGATGTTCGCCCCCAATGGACACATAGCGGCCAGGCAATGAAATTATAGGCGTTAAGTTACTGTTGCACAAGCACAGGCTGCAATGTAACGTCACGTTGACTGCGTTGGAGCCTAGGCGCCAAACGCGGTTCCATTCGTGGAGGCTTCCAGGTTTATCAAACAATTCAGCCCAGCGAGCCTTGGCGTGGGTTTCCCGAGTCCTGAGCTGTGTTGTCCTGGCTCCGCGTGATATCTCAATCTCCGCCAAGGACAGCGGTGCTCGAGAACGTCGCAGGATGTTTGAAGAAGGTGCACGCCAACATCCCGGATGATGCTGTCTACAAGGCCAGGAAACTGCCGTGCCTTTGCCTTTGGTAGCCATCAGGGGCATGTTGCACAGCAGCAGCAGAACCATTGCCGGCCGTAGTTCCCAAGCATGGAGCGAGCTAGCTGCCAGGGCGGGCGGTTCAGAAATCTGAGAAAGCATTCCTTCATAAAATAAAAGAAAGCAGCAAGATGAAAGTTTGTAAGTAGTTGATGTAATAATAATACTATTCTAGTGTTGACTTGTATTACTGTATTACTATACTGTATTCATAGTCATTGAGTCATAGTATCAGACAGCATAGACAGGGCCATAGCCTGGGCAGTGAGAAGGGAATCAAAGCAGTGCATGTAGCCTGCCATACGGGACTATAATAGGACTCACAGGACCAATAATATAACACAACTCGTCATTATTTAGTCGTAATGCAAGCCGCCCTGGACTGAGCTTACAAAGTTCTGATTCCGTGCTGGTGTTGAGTGCAACATCTCCTGGCAATGTGGAGACGGGTTGCTGCAGCATTGGCGCCAGATGCCAACGCTGACAATGCTGTTGTTGCAGAAGTTGCAGAGGCATTCTCCGTAAGTTTTAGGGGTTTGGGTTTGAGGGTTCTGTGTGGAGTTGGTAGTAGTAGATTTTAAAATTGTAAGTACAGTCCCAACCCCCCAAACCATAAATCCTAAGCCCTAAATGCCCAGCCACAGCCTCTAACTTCGTCCTTTCCCAGACTCGAGCCACCATAGGACCATGACCATAACAACTAACAACCAAGAAGTCCTGGGTCCCCCCGCAAAGGTAACAGACGCCCGTGAAAGCCAGATTCGGCAATCCTTTCGTTCGCGTGGCAAAGCACATGGATTGGCGATTATGGCCGGCATTGCTCGCAAGCAGGTGCAGAGGGCAGCGGATGAACACAGACATCAGACTTGTAGAGGAGCAGCTCAAGATATTAGCAGGATCGTCTTCGGAGCTTTTGGTCGAGGTCAAAATTCAGCAGCGACAAGGAAGGTGTTCTTCAGCTGAACTTAGTTCAGGACTCATCATATTCTGTAGTGTTCCGGTCAGCGCTGTACGTTGGAAACAAATGCAACACAACGAAATAGAATCAATGTAGAATGCATAAATACATGGTAAGATCCGAGGCAGGAGTACTTTCAATTCTTCAATGGAAAGGGCGACATTACCGGCTACGCCGCCACAACGAGGAAGGACGGTGCCCTCAGCCGTTACAAAGCCGTTGGACTCCTTTCTCATTTGGTTGCACAGAAGCAAGGTTTCATGCAATGGTTGAGGGGTTTGAAACCAGTTCATTGCATTTTCGTCCGCATCTTCGATGATACCAACGTTTATGTTACTCCAGAGGCTGGCCCTGCAAAGGGGGCAGACGTTGACTTAGAAGGTGCTGATTTGACGGAGGAGAGGGAGGAAGATGAACAGGAGCAGCAGCCTGTGCTTGGCTGCAAGAGGGGCCGTACTGGTCGGCGCAAAGTGCAGCCACTACTTGGAATGCTGCAGTGGGCTGTTGCCCGCCGAAGTGACAGGCAGCGAGCTGCCGCCGATGCTGTTGAATCTGTGCAGCTTTTTGCGCCCTCGCAGGTCATGCCGAAGGCAGGAGAGTGGTCCATGATTAAATTTCGGGCGCTGACCCTGACAGCTAGTTTTAAATCTAGCTTTCAATACCCTTGTGTACTCGGCTAGGCTATACGGCTATATACTGACTATACTGGCTATAAGTAAGGCTATAGGCTATAGGCTATAGGCTATAATTCTATAATAGTATAAAGGCTATTAGGCTGTAAGGCTAGTTTATGCGCTATACTGATACTGGGCTATACTGCGGCTATACTACTATACTGGCGGCTATACTATACTGGCTATACGGCTATACTGTCTATACTGTACTGGCTATGCTATACTATACTATACTATGACTATAACTATACTAATATACCAATGAGACCTATGAATCTTATGTGGGCTTGAAACATATGCCGCCATATGCCGCATCAGGCGAACGCCGCGACCCTGCTCGACCGAATCGGGAAATGGATGCTGCCGGGAGATGAGGTGCCACCGGCACACCTTGGGGGCAAAGCTCTAGAAAACATTCTTCAAGATATCCCATTCAGAGTCGTCCTCACCGGCACCTGGACACATTGCAGAGAGACAAGTAGACAGATTGTGTTTTTCTTTAAGTAAGTCAGCTAGGCAGCCTGGGCATTGATGCCGATTGATGCCCTGTTAAACTACGTCACCTAGGCACTGATGCCCTGTCATCAAACGTATCAGCATTGGCCTTGGAGCAAGAACGCGTGCTGCAGCGGCGGCAGGACGGTGGGAATGGCTCGGTGACAACGCTGGTCCATGCATTTTGCAATCACCACCAAAGTGCATTAGCAAAAAAACCTCAGATTCTCAGGGTGGAAGGTGTGGCCACAGGCAGCTCGTTACAATTGTTGTTTGGTTGTTAGTCAGACGGTGTCAGACGGGTCAGTGTGCTTTGTAGAACCGGTGAGAGAGTTGGTTCGACGATAGATAGTAGAAGATAGAAGTGAAGTGTTGAAAAAAGTAGTAAATAGGTATAAGTAAGTTATAAGTTATAAAGTTATAAGTTATAAGTTAGTATAGTCTGGGCTGGGTTGATCGCAGGCCTCGTTCGAATGGCCAATGCTTTCAGAGGCACTTTGTTTCGGCAGAGACTTGACAACGTCTTGGCTTCGTTTGCACGATCGGCTATACGACAGCCAGTAGCTTCTCTGCCAGCTACCACGGAGGCAGATATTGCGAGCAACGCAAAACTGCTGAAGGAGTGCTCCCTGGAGCTCACGGAAGAGCAACTTGACCTCACATTGCAGATGCTGAATACGGACTGGTGTCAGCCATTGGATCCTGGAGAGCCGCTGCGCCATTACTGTGCACCCGGCTGTTGCGCGTCTACGAAGGCTTTTCGTCTCAGGATGCGCGCGGTGCTGGATGGTTTGTTCGCCCATCTCTTTGCATGCCCTTTGCTTTATCGCTGGAAAAACTTTGACGAGGCTTGCACATGGGTAGCAAGGGGCATGGTGATCCGGGGTTTATTGAAGCAAATTTGGGGGCTCTGTAAACAAGATGCCGCAGATAACTTGGAAGACCTTGTGTCGCTGCAAGCTATGGATGAAGACAATCCAGATATGAACCCCAGCTTGCGGCAACAGGTTCGAGTAGCCAAAGTTATGGGCCTGCTCTCGGAACCAGACGCGGCAGCCCGCTTCCTGAAGACCTTGCTGGTGTCTCGACCACTTACAACTTACATGGACAAGATGTCCTTTTTGGAGACATGCCGATCCCGGTTCCGTATGCGCATGCGTGGCTTTGAGCAACATGAGAGCAAATGCACGCATTCGACCCTTGATGGTGTTGTTGGCTTGGCTTTGGAAGTCATCCAGGGAAGGGCAGGCAGAAAAGTTGTGACAGAGTTCAGTGCAATGCTGACAGCCCCGTCCGATGATGCCATGTGGTACAACCATCTGGGCCTTGGAAAGGCTAGCTGCGTGGATCTTCTTTTGATTGGTGCGGCCGACGGTTACAGGCGTCTGGTGCTTCCTTTCATGTGCCAGCCTTGGCAACTACTGGGTGTGTCCACACAAGAACCAGCAGCTGCGTTGGCGTCCACGGAAGCGCAACGTGCGCAGCATGGCGGTTGTGCGCAATGCATCGATCCATTTTTTAGCAAGGCCTTCCTTTCAGCGGGGGCATTGGGTAATACGGTACTACTGTACTGCCTTATGTTTTTATTTGGGGGTGAGTTACTACTTAGTACTTAGTACTTATTAGTACTTATTAGTACTAGTACTAACTTAACTAACTTTAACTACTAACTACTAACTACTAACTACTAACTACTAACTACTAACTTAAATGGTTCTCTTTTATTGGGCCTCTGAGCAACTTAGCTTCATTTACCATGATAAGGAAGCCATCTTGTTTACTATAG